TGAGAGAGATTCAGTATTAAATATAAATTAATGAAATTAATGGAACAAGGGGAACCAAAACGATTTGGTTTGTATTGTCCTGTTTCAACCTTGTATCGACTGATACATTGAGATATTTTAAACCTTGACCATACCCATATTTTCTTAATAATTATTCATAAATTTTATACGAAAAGTATAAAGTTCATATTAAAGTATAGAAAATCAACATATTTATGAGAAGGAAAATAAAATTCAAAAAAATGTAGGGGTTGAACCCTTATTTTTGTTATGGCTCAGTTTGGAAGGAGTACAAATACAAATATGTACAGTACAAATACATACAAAATAATACAAAATGCAAGGTTTTGCACTCTACACATTTGTATTTGTACTCCTTCCAAACTGAACCTATAGGAAAAGGAGAAAAGAAAAAGTATTGGTAGTAGTAGTAGAAGAAGTAGAAGAATATATGGAAGAAGAAAATGTGTTGATTATAATTTTAAGTTATTCCTTACTTATTGGTTTAGGTTTTGAAGTCTTTGGGGGTTCAATACAACATTTAGCAATGTTTGTGTTAATTAAACCCTAATAAATAAGAAAATAATAAAAAGAAATTAGTATATAAACACACAAAATAATTATTTTAGTTTAATAATGTTTATTTTATAATTATAATATCAAAAAAGTATATAATAGAAAGTAAAAAACTATTTGGCGATTAGGCAATAAGAGCCTCAAAAGGTGCCTTGTCGCCTAGGCGTCACCTTGACAACTATGAATCTCATGGTAGTTTCTTTCTTTACTTTCGTAATGACATGTTCTTAGAAGTTTGTTTAACTAACTTCTTTCTTTGTAATTATATGTTTACATTCTATTTAATGATGTGAATCATAGTTGACCTAATTGAAACCATAGTTGAAAGAAGGACATGGGTAAATAAAGGAACCAATGAGTAAATGAATAAATAACAAATAAGACAAGTAAATAGTAGCTCCATCTCAATTCACGGTCCTAGCCTGGTCCGCACCCACAACCATCGTCCCAACCCAACTTTCCAAAATGGTAAAAATTACTAAAAATAGTAAAAACCCTAGTAAAACCTAAACCTTGTTATAAAACCTTATTTTATTGAAAAAGGTTATCCAAAAAAATACAAACTTAAACAAAATTGAAACGACTAAGATATGTGACTTATTATAAAAGGAAAGTTTAATAGAAAAGTTCCCATTTGGAGGCCAAAATAGTGGATTACTGTGCCTTAAAACACAAATGAATCCAAAGGATTAGTTTTCCGATGCATAGTGCTCAATAAAGGGCAATCCCATTGCCTAAGAGTAAAAATAAAAAACACCTAAAAGCCAGAAGAGCATAGTAAGACGGGCTTTCAGGTGCATTAATGGGCAGCTACACAAGTTGGCCCTTAAAACAATAACATCAACCATTAAAAGAAGCAATAAACATGTTTAGAAAGTATGTGATTGTTCCTCAATCGCTTCAACACCATATTCACTTGTTAGATTTATGCACTTCAAAAACCCATTCCACCAGATATGCACAATTATTATTCTCTTTTTTATTACTTTTGAACTCTTTTTTCCATCTCCATAGCTCCATTTCTTCTCTATTCTTTGTTAATAATTTTAAGTGTTATAATTAGATTTCATTGAATTGAAATATTCAATAAATTTTATTTTATTTGTATTCTCTCTAATTATTATAAAGTGGCTTTTTCTTTTTACAAGATTTTTATTTTTTTTCTTGAAATATATTTACATGGGAAAGATTTTTTTCTTGTGTTTTGCGTTTTGTCTTTTTGGAAAAGGCTTATTTTGTTTTCCTCTTTCTCCCACTTGATTTCTCTTGTCTATTCAAAGCAAGACCTGAAATCCCACATTGCTTCGGAAACAAATTTTCCTAGAGCTTATTTGTTAGGATGTGAGATTAGTATTTATCTTAGGCTAGTGGTAAGAAGCTACCATGCCTACCACACACACGTGTTAGACCAGGTTGGCCTATGCTAATACATGCATCTGCACTTTTTTAAAACTTTCAATACTTTTATGTTCTTTCCATACCTATCTCAACACTATATTCAGATTTTGAACCCCATCTACCATGTTCAACTAAACATGTTGGAGTGGATTTCCACTTCATTAGAGAGTGTGTTCTCAAAAGACTCCTTGTCAATCACGTCAACAGTACTAATCAAGGGTTAAATACTACCCAATGCAGAATTCTGAATGACAGCTCCCCATAGTCTACTAGTAGCCCCCTTATAAATCGCATCCTGCTTGTGAATTTGGCATCAATTCACGCTCAGGATTCATCCCCCCTGTATAGTGGGGTTACAAAATTCTGACCTGGACTGATCAGTCATTCTCCCTACTAATCAACTTGCTGATTTGTTCATCAAGCCCTTGTCTTGGTAGCACTTTGTTGATTTAAGGTCTAAGCTCAATGTACATGAGTGCCCCTTGAGCTTGAGGGTGCTTGCTAAGGGGAGTGCTTGCTAAGGGAATCTTGGTTGATGATCACGTATAACAACAATTGTTATCTCCTATTATTTCTCATGTATATCTTATCATATATTTGAATCTCTACGTTCTCCATAATCTATAAATTGACATATATATGTAAATCTCTCCTTTATATAAATTCAAATAGAACAACCACCTCATGGTGATTACAAGTCTCTCATTCTCAACATTGTGTGATTGTTTATTTGCACATATACGAGTCATAGATGGTCTCCAATGTTGAAGTGGCAACCTATGATTAGAAGTGCAATATGCTGTGCAAAACACCAAGTATATGAGGCCTAGTCCTTGATTATTAAAGTTTTTCCATTGAAAATTTTATTTTTTTGGATGACCATCAATTTCTTTATTGTCACAATATTATTTTAGAGTTCCACAGCCTCTTCCTCACATACCGAGACATTTTGATCTTCAAAATTTGTCTTAATTTGTGTTTTTCCTCTAAAAGTGTTGTGCATTAAAGTGTCATGAGTTTTAATGGTCATTGCATGTCATGGTGGAGATATAAGGAACATCTAAGCTTAGATTAATAGTTGCTTGTAGAAGAACTGGAATTTTCTAAGGCCCCATTGGTTTTTGGGATTTTGAAGGGGGAAAGTTGATCTATGAGATT